TTCCCTTGCATTTTCTCCTTTATCTTCCCCAACCCCCACTCAGGTAGGCACTCACTCCGCATTTCACATCTCAGGAAACATGCTCTGAGAGGTGAACCTCCCCGATTAGGCAGCAGAGCTGGGATTTGACGGATGGATATGACTTAAATGCGGCCCTTAGCCCTGGCCATCTGCCATTTGGTCCACAGAACCCAGATTCCAGCCACCCCAGGAAGCCCGCCTCTGGCACCTCTGTAAGGCTGGGTTCCAACTTTTTGAGTCCCAGCACCCAAGCCAGGCTCACTGAACAAACAGATGTACCTCCTGTATTTCTATCCCTCCCACTATCATCACAAGCCACTGTCCCCCAGCACAGAAAACCACGCTGACTCAGAGGACAATGGGCTGTCTCTACACCTTCTGGGTGGGTTTTCTCCTTCCAGTCAGATTTGAGATGGTGGTCACATTGTTGGGATTCAGTGCTGTTACTGTGGCTTAAGGACACGGTGGGGGGCAGGGAACCCCACAGCCTTTGATCATTGCAGCAGTGCTGCTGAGCATAATGGTGCCACTACAGCAACTGCAAAACTCAGAATAAAATTTTTAATTGCATCAGGGTTATGGGGAATCAGTTTTATTGCAAGTATTTCCACTAGCAATGAAATATTGCAGTAAGATGCTCTCAGAAACGACCCTTCAGCGATGCTGGCTGTGCCCAGGGCCTGCATGGCAGGGGCAGCAGGGTGCAGAGAGCCTGCATGCTGGGGGGGATTTTCAGGGATGGTTAGGACACTGCTTGGCCTCCTGCCACTGCAGCATGACATCCCAGAAAGAGCACGACCTCTGAGACTGGCGGAATGGGGTTTGGGTCCACATCTGCCCCCTCAATGCTACACGACCAAGCAAACCCTGGGCTTCTGAGCCCCGTTTCCCTGTGTGTAAAATGAAGATGATAACACCTCACCTGGCACATTATGAGTATAAACATGAAGGAAACAGGAAGTGCCTCCCACAGCCCCAGGCACGCGCGGACCCTCTATACACCAGCATCCCTCTCCCCTCACCCTGGGCGGTATGGCACCGTCTGAAAGGCCCCTCCCCAGCTCTCAGCCTTATTACTGTTTCTTATCGGAACATTTATTTCCAGGCCGATAGGCTGGTCTGACAACCCTGCAAAGGAAAACTTCATCCCAGGCAAGAATGAATCTTCCAGCCCCGGTCTCTGCCCTCACTACCTAGAAACTCAATTTAGAGCTTGGTCAGGCATTGGAAGGTTCTCAGAATGCTGCCGAGAGGGTCTAAGAAGGGCACTGCAGGAAGAGAGAGAGAGGGACAAGGGCCTCACTGGCAGATAGAAGTGCTTCGGGTAGGCCGTAGGAAGTCGGTCAGGGCAGGATGTGGTAGCCTTGGCTGGCCCTGTATGGAGAGTGGAGTCGGGGCTTTGGGGTAGAGGTGTGACCTGGGTGTCAGGGCGCCTGCTTGGCAGTGTGGGGAAGGTGAGAGCCAGGGCTTAAGGCGGGGGGCCGGGGCATGGGGTGAGGCCGAGTAGCCAGAAACCAGGCTTCACTTTTGGGGAACCTTGTGCATTGCATTAGAAGTTTGGGAGCCCATCCATCCTCAGAGATCTCTGTCCTGTAAAGGTTCCATCTAGTCTTCCCTCAGAGCTGTGCTTGCTTTCTCTAGGAGGTGGTTGCAAAGACAGCCCCCATGACACATTAGAAGCTAGAACCTTGGAAGTCGGGGCTGAGAGCAAGCCTTGGCAACGGAGCAGGAAACACCCCCCTTGGCTGGCTTGCTGCAGCCTGAAGAGTCACTGGGAGCCTGGCTGGCTGGGTGTAAGGCTGGACTGGGTATTAGGCTTCTGCAGACCTGGCTCCTCAGTCTCTTGTCCCTGCGGGTCTAGGCAAGTCAAAGGTTGCTGGCAGCGCTGGGCAAGACCTTGGATATGACCTGCTGGAGAGCCCCCACCCCCACCCCATTTGCTGGATGTCCTCCCTCCTCGCACCCTCAGGGGGCTGAGCCCTGGGGCTGCACCACCACTGGAGCCCAGCTCCCTCCCACCTTGCCTCCTCCATCCTCCCTTGTTTCTCCTTTGTTCCTAGTCCTCCCTCACTGGGTCTGCTGTCTCCTGCCCCCGTCTCACTGTGATCTCTAGCTGTCTCTGGCTTGTCTTAGTCTGTACCTGTGTCTTTCCTGCTTCGCCCCTTCCCTGCTTTGTTGGCCTCTCTTGCACTCTCCATTTCTTCGCGTCAGTCTCTGTCTCTCCCGCTGCCTCTCTCCCTCTCAGACACACTGGGGACCCTTGGGCTGTCCATTCACACCTGTTCTGACCTCCTGTCTGGTGGCTCTTCCCCCTTCCAGATAGGACTGGTGGTCATCCTGGTGTCCACGGTGGTAGCCATGTCGGCCGTGACCCAGCTGTGGGAGGACGAGTGGGAGGTTCTGCTCATCTCCCTGCAGGTGAGTTGGGGGGCAGCAGCTTCTTCCCCCAAACCCTCAAAACAAAAGCAATGCCTTTTTACCACTCCCATCTCTTCAGACCAAGGCCCAGAGGGAGCAAGGGAGGGTGCTATGGTGCAGAGTCCCTGGACCCCCAGTTTCCTCCAGGAGGACAGAGTTGCCTGCCCCTTGGATAGAGATGGGCCATCAGCATGGTGGTGACCAAAGGGCCTGGCATGGCTGGGAGTCAGCGGTCCCTCCTGTCCCTTCCCACGCACAAGGGCACAGCACCGTTCCTGCACGTGGGGGCCCTGGCTGCCGTCACTGCACTCTCCTGGATCGTGGCAGGACAGTTCGCCCGCACGGAGAGGTCCTGTAAGTATGACTGGGCAGGACCTGCCCCCTTCCATGCCCTTCAAGTGCCAGGCCAGCTTGTCCTGCCCCCACCTAGACTTTACCTGGGCATCCCGGGGATGAGGTGGGGCCCTCGCTTTCAGTGTCGGGCTTTTGTTCAGAGTGGCCCATGGGTTCCATGGAAGGCTGCAGCCTCGGTCAGCCTTGCCTGCTTGCTCTTTTGTGACTCTATGTCTGTGTGTGTGTGTGTGTGAGAGTCAGAGGTCAAGGTCACCTTCCCAGCAAGAATGGGGGCTTCCCATGGCGCAGGGTCCCCTCAGAGCATCCTGGTCAGGACAAGTGGGGGGAAGGGGTCCCACCGCTTGCCCAGGGCTCATGGTTGGGCCTGGCGGGAGCCCAACGCTCACCGGCAGTGCTCACAGCCTGTGTCTGCAGCCTCCCAGATGGCCATCCTCTGCACCTTCTCTGCCGTGGTGTTTGCCCTCTACCTGGCCCCTCTCACCATCTCATCTCCCTGCATAATGGAGAAGAAGGACCTGGGCCCCAAGCCTGCCCTCATCGGCCACCGCGGGGCCCCCATGGTGAGTGCCACCTGAGGGTCCTAACAGACTGGAGTGGAGGGATAGGGTGAGGGCAACAGAGCTGCCATTCTAGGGGGAGATAAGCAGAGACCTATCTCCTTGGCGGACCTTGTAGGGAAATGAATATAATACATGCAATACAATAATAGCAACAATTTTTAGCCCCTTTGGGAAGTATGTGGGAAGGTTTGATGAATAGGCTGGAGAACTTATATGGGATCAAACCCTGAAGACCCCTGAAGGCATCTTGCTAAAAACCATGTAACTTGTATCAAGAGGGTCTTAGGCAGACACTTCCTGGGTTAGGAAGGNTCTGAGCCTCAGATCCCCCCACCAGTATGACAGGGGCCGTAATCCCTGCCAGGCAGGTTTGGCTACAAAAGGGGAGAAAGGGGCACATTTGGGTGGGAGGCGGCCTGGAGGGCCAGCCCCTGACACCATTTGACCCCTTTCCTGCTCTGCTCTTCCAGTGGGAACGCCTCTGGTTCTTGCTCCTCACAGTCACCTTCGGCCTCACACTCACCTGGCTCTACTTCTGGTGGGAAGTCCACAATGACTACGATGAATTTAACTGGTGAGTGGGAGAGGGCTGGGCCTGGGACAGGCCCTGGGTCCCAAGGTCCAGGGACCGGGACGGGGGGGCTTGGGTTGGAGCCCCTCTCCCAGGCTGGCTCCCAGAGCTCTGCCGCCAGCTCTCTGTGGCCTTGGGGGCAGGGTCCTCTGGAAAGAACAAAGCCTAGCAGAAGCTGAGCCCAGCTGGGAGGAACAGGGAACTCCTTGCTGGGGCTGCTGTCCTGGAAAATGGGAGTGGAAGGCTGGGACAGGGCTCAGCCGGGGTCTGGGGCCGCTGGTCCTCTTGGTACACAGGAACTCCAAAGCCCAGAGAGACCAAGGCCTTGGCAGAGGAGGTGGCCCTGAGCTGGGCCTTGGGCGGGGCGGGCAGAGGCTATGGTTCTGGGACAGCTCAGGCTCTTTGTGAGCGCCAGCCGCAGGTCCAAGGGCAGGGCTGTCGGAGTACAATACCTGGGTACAGGAGAGCACTTGTTTCTATCTCACCCCCACCTCCATTGCCTGCCTTTGTCAAACGGTGAGAGGCCATGGGAGGAGAAGAACCTGGGGTTCTTGTGGGAACTCCTCT